CCCGCGCACAGCAACGGCACTGCGAAAAACGCCCCCCCTGGCGCGATCTACGCTGTGCGTAGGTATCTGTACGTACGAGTATCTGTATCTACGCCGTAGCCGTATCAATGAACAACCGCAGCACGCGCCAAAAAAACGAGTATTCATGATCATCGCGAGCGAACAACAAAAACCACAACGAGAAGAAGCCGTCGAGCGTGGAGCCTCGGGCCTCGAGAGATCGAGAGGTTTCTGGTTTTATATGGCAGTGGGATCTTCATTAGTGACACCTTCGACTGAGCAGACATTAAATCAAAATTTATTATTGACATAATTTGTTAAATACGCAGATGCAGTGCACATCACTCACGTGTTGCACAAGCCCACTATATAAATACTCTCCCAGTCGCCCGGTCTTCCAGTCTTCCAGTCGGTCCCTGTTTGCGGCCCCTCCCTGTCTGTTTCCCCGTAAACAACCAGATCTGAGTCAGCAGTTTTCAACGTATTACATACATATGTGCATAGTGCAGGTTGCGCGAACCCGAGGAGAACTTCCTGTGGAGTCGAAAAGTGAAATGAAGCCGCCGCGCGCTGGACATAAATGATGCAGAAACTGTTGTTTGCTTGTTCTTGGCACGTTTCCCTTTCGAGGTACGGCTACTGTCGCCGACTGATAAGCGGAAGGTGTAAGAAATTATTAGGTGGTGGCTGAGGTGTCAGCGAGATCCCCGCCGTCCCACCGGCCCGCCGTCCCATGCAAATGAGGAACTACTGATAACGATCCCAGCGTTTTGCGCAAGTGTCGTGCCGCTCACCGTGGTGGCACTTGGCATTGGCATTCCACCATTCCGCGATTACCATCCGAGGGGAAATCTGTTGACTCGTACTGCGGCAATTGCAATTTCTCGCCTTGAGCCTTGAGTGGGCGGGCCGGTGGTCCCAGTGCCCAGGTGTGCCCAGGTGTGTGGACAGGAAGTATGGACTCCCACCGACAGCTGACAGCTATGGACCGAAGCAAATGAGGTAGCAATGATTTGGGGAATACGTCGTCAAGGTCTGCGAACCTATCCCAATCTGTGAGTGCACTGCGGATCGGGAAATTGAGCGCAGATCGATCTGAATTGATTTTAATTCCTTGCACGTGCAATGCACCCGAAGTGCGGGAAGCCCAGAAACGCCGTTGATTAAATGCTCCTCTGGAATTAAGAATGTGCCTCAAAAACGTCCAGCAATTAGTCATTTAATCAGGGCTCCTATTAGGGCCATTCGGTTGCAGTTGCAGTGGCAGTGACGTAACAGTCTGACTGTGTTCCGCTTCATATTTATAGAGCTATGATAAGGGCAAATCTGTCCTATGATTAACCACCACTGAATTAGCATAATGACTAAATTACCAAGTAAATAATAGGTACCAAAAAATGAATCGTGGAAATAAACACATAATTATTGCCAAAATGGGACGTTAATTTTAAAAGCCAATTATCCAAGTTCCGACGCCTGCCGGCCCTCCCTGTTGGCCGTTTCAATTAGCAGAGCCATCAAAATAAACAGCGGAAAGAATGTGCAGGCAAACCAGTTTCTTCGGCGGGAGGCTGCGGGAGAGGGAGCGGCAGCGGCCCCCAACGATCACGAGCTTAAAGCTCGCCAAGTCGTCAAACACTTGGAGACCGAAGAATGCACATCTGACGGGCGACGTCACAGAGCTGTGTGCGCAACAGGTGGGGCGGAATCACCTGCAATCCGATCTGATCGGTTCAATCGAAAGCCTGGCGTGAATCATCGAGACACCGCCGAAAAGTCCCAGTCCCAGTCCCAGCAAAGAGGCGAAGAGGCGAAGAGGCAAAGAAAAAGAGAAAACCCCAGGCGCTTTGGTATCGATGCACGATGTATCAGCGGCCACAATTAGCCAGCGGTAAACCGAATTAACACACTTGAGTAATCACCTACGCTGGGTCCAGTTTGGTGTGGGGCTGGTGTTCGGGTTTCTTGGCTCGGTTCCACTGGATGCCCACTAGGAAATTATGCACACGCATCCCAAAAACTGCACAAGATGCGCAGCGAAAGGCGAGAACCTCTCTCTCTCTCTCTTCCCCTCCACCTCTTGGAGGGAAACCAGTTTCCAACTCCTCTCTCTCGCTCTCTAAATGGGGGCTTATCTTTTGCTAAATATTTTCTCTTGGTTTATGAGCAATAAGTGAAACCTGTTTCTCATGAAAGTACAATGGGGTCCGCTCTTCATTGAGGAAGAGTCGATTATGGGGATGGGGATGGAGCATGAGGTGCTTATTTTGATAGTTTTCGGGAATGCGAAGATAATAGGCGAAACATGAGCTCTCGTTCCACTGAGAGAAACATCGCCAGAACCCAAGTAGCTCCCAGCTTGAATGGGTCTGGTCTCGTCTTTCAATTACCTGCGAAATGGCCGAATGTTTTTCTCGACTGTAAACGAAAAATGGCTCTGCTGTGGCACACAAAAATCGTTTGTAATTAATGAAAAAAGCAAATAAACAACAAATGTTTATGGCATGTCGGTGGATGGATGGGAAGCTTCGGCGTTGCCAAAGCAACCAACAAAACAATACCAACGCCCGATGGGCGATTGAGGATTGGGGATTGGGGATTGGGGATCCGGTCGGCGGTGGCACGCACCCACTTGTGACTGACGGACCGCAGAGAACCACCGCCAGACGAGAACAGCTGCTGAGAGCTGTCCGTGTGTGTGTGTGTGTGTGTGCATACTGGGAGAAACCGTGAGTGAGAGCCACCGAAATCACGGCCAAGTTGGAGAACTCGACTCGCGGCTCGCGGCTCGCAGCTCGCAGCTCAGAGGCAGGCAAGATATTCATGCCTCGTCGCTCGGTTAGTTAAGCGCGGTTTGTCAGTCAGTGGAGTCGATACCGTCACCGTCATCGTCATCGTCATAGTTATTGTTGCTGCTGCTCCTGCTGCTGTCGTCGGTAGTTTTGTTTTTTTTTTGGAGAAACACTCGACTGTTCCACAGCCATGTCCAAGTACACGAAATTGGCACGCGGGATCTGCGATCTGCTGATCTGGGCCGCGCTCAGTGTGGGCAGCCTGCTGCTGCACAAGTGGGGGAAGCCCTTCAAGCGCGGCTTCTTCTGCGGGGATGAGTCACTGGCGTATCCCTACCGCGAGAGCAGCTTCGAGCACGAGCTGGTGCTGGCCATCGCCTTCGGCGTGCCCACCTCGGTGATCGTGGTGGTGGAGCTGTTCAAGCAGCTTCCGGGTGGCGCCCTGCGCGAGACGACCGGAAAGCGGGACGGCTGCCGCCTGGGGCACCGCCTGGGCCAGCTCTACAAGCAGGCCATCTTCTACCTCTTCGGACTGGCCATGGTGGCGTTCACCACGATGCTCTCGAAGGTGTGCATCGGGCGCCTGCGTCCGCACTTCTTCGCCGTGTGCCAGCCCATGCTGCCGGACGGCAGCACCTGCCAGGACGCCCAGAACCAGGGCCGCTACATCGACAGCTACACCTGCAGCAACGCCAACATGACGGACTTCAACTTCCGGCAGCTGAACCAGTCCTTCCCCAGCGGCCACGCCAGCATCACCCTGTACGCGATGCTCTACCTGGCCATCTACCTGCAGGCGGCTCTGAGCACGCGCGTCTCCAAGCTGCTGAAGCACCTGCTCCAGTTCCTGTTCGTCATGTTCGGCTGGTACGTCTCGCTCACCCGCATCACCGACTACCACCACCACTGGAGCGACGTCCTGGCCGGGGCCGTCATGGGCGTCCTGATCGCCTGCCTCACGGGCGCCTACGTGGCCGACCTGTTCGCCTTCAAGCGCTGGCCCAAGACCGGCTACTCGGCCAACACGCTGCGCAAGCCGCAGGTCTCGCCCAAGAGCTCCACCAAGTCCCAGGCCGGCGCTGCTCCGGCCACGGCCGCCTCCAATGGGGCCCAGCCGCCCGCCCTGCCGGCCTACACCTTCGGGACGCTGCCCTACCTGGCGGCACATCCGGCCCAGGCGCAGTACGCCCAAACCTATCACAACTACGGATACGTTCCCTGAGCAAAGGGACAGGGCCGGTAGGCAGATGGGTGCTTGCCTCAACTTGGAAAACCTCACACTTACACACACACACAGCCCCCCCACACACACACACACAGTCACACAAAGACTTGCACGATATTCCTGTTTTTTTTTGTTTGTTGTCTGTATTCTAGCGAAATATAAAATCTATTCAAAAGTATCGTATCACGAAGATGGTTTCGGAGTTTGTTTTTTCCCAGAGGGCAGAAAAGTAGAAAGTGTTTAATCCATTGATCGGGTATTTGGCAACATTTGAAAGTTGTCGCATCTCAGCTCAAACCTTCAACTTCCAGCGGAGATCTTGGGTATAGAACTGGCTTACCTGCAAAGAGAGAAAACAGAAAGACTTTGGTTAGGAGGCATTTCGTGGCTGGGGATTATGATAATAGCACATTCCAGAGGTGTTACAACAGAGATATTCTTACAGGGAGAATCAATCGCAGCCTCGATCGATAAAATAGGTTGCAAACATTTACAGTTACTTTTGCTTTTGTCCAGGCCGAGAGAACGAGCCAAGAGCACGCAAAAAAACAACAAGAGAAACGGCTTCAACACCTACCAGAGACTAGGCCAAGACCCACCGCCCCGCATCCAACCAGCCAAGCAAATGGGTTCCAGCTGCGGCGACTTTAGAAATTAGGAATAAATTATTGAGACCTTAGCATATTTGAGCAATCGATAAACAGCAGCCCAGGCCAGAGCCAGAGCCAGACCCAGAGCCAAGCCAGAGCCAGAGCTAGATCAGTGGGAAAAGCAGAAAAGCAGAAAAGCAGAGACTTGGAGCCAAACAAAGGTTTTTGAAACAAGTTTTTGTTTGGTAGCCACTAACCTCCAACATCGTCGGACCGATCGCAGCGATCGAAATGCAAATGAGCCGTGGGCCGAGCTGAAAGAACTGTCTGCTTGGACCCATCCAGCACGGCCCATCCATCCATCCACCCATTCACCCGATCTCCAGTGTGAAAATGTGCGGCAATCCGAACACGCGTCTGCTCTCGCGGCTCATCATCGACTTCCTCATCCTGCTGGGGGTCTATGGCGCGGCCCTGGTGGTCCTGCCCCAGCAGCTGGCCACCGTCCAGCGGGGCTTTCACTGCAGCGACCCCAGCCTCCGCTACCCCTACCGCCAGCCCTGGCTGACCAAAGTCCACCTCACGATCGCCGTCGTCGCCCTGCCCGCCGCCTTCGTGCTCGTCGTGGAGATGCTGCGGGCCGCCTTCGTGCCCAGTGGGGCGGAGCTGAAGCAGCGGTTCGTGTTCGTGGGCGCCCGGATACCGAGCTTCATCAGCGAGTGCTACAAGATCATCGGCGTGTATCTGTTCGGCCTGGGGCTGTCCCTGCTGGTCATCCGGCTGACCAAGTACTCGACCGGACGCCTCCGTCCGTACTTCTTCGACGTGTGCCAGCCCACCTGGGGCGAGGAGGGCGCTGAGAACTGCGCCGATCCGTCTCTGCCCGGGAACCGCACGTCCCACTACATCGAGGACTTCAGCTGCACGGAGTTCGCCGCCTCGCAGGACCTGCTCGGCCTGGTGCGCCACTCCTTTCCGAGCGGGTTCGTGACCTCCACCTGGTATGCCATGGCATTCCTGGTCTTCTATGCCCAGGCCAGGCTCTTCGCTCCCTGGCTGAGACTCCTGCGCTCTACTCTGCAGCTGGCCTGTGGGTCGGCGGCCCTCGTCGTCTGTTGGGAGCGCATCTCCACCTATCAGAACCATCTGTCGGATGTGGCGGCCGGTGCCGCCTTCGGCGCTCTGCTGGCCTTCTTTGTGACTGTCTTTGTGGCCCATCTGTTCGAGGAGGTGCGCGTGAAGCGGCGCCAGTGGCCCCGGAACGAGCAGATCTACGGCTATGCGGGCTACTACAATCGGGCTACTTATGGATATTGATATTGATACATCGATCGGGAATAAAACGATAATTTTGATTTGGGTTTTTTAACTGCTGCCAAGGGGAAAGCTTTTCGAAGAGGTTGCTTCCTTAGTCGAGATCCGAACCACAGCTTTCGATCCACACAACAAGTGGTGGCGATCGCCTTCCACTGATAAGCGCGCGCTGACCACAGTCAAAACACGATCGCTCCATCTCCCTCTCATTCGTGAGCTCTTCTGTCTCTTTTGATACACGGTACTCCGGCAGTGCAGGGGCATGCTGGACTCGTGTCGGGGTATGCAAGAGCCAGAAGGAAAGGAACCCATAAGGTATATAAATTACTGATCCGGCATCCAAGGCCGAAACGATATAGCCAGCCATATCCGTCTGTCCGTCTTATGTGTCGTCCAATTCTTAAAGACTAGACTAGTGCAAGTAGACTAGTAGGTGATTAGTAGACTAGAGATAGTTGTAGTAGTCTGTAGCCCACTTTCCACTCTTCAAATGGCATAAAAAACTACAACTACAAGAAAACCGAATACGTAGAATCATAAGCAACAATCCTATCTACCAGATTTCAGAAAAGTGTAGCGATCAGATCATTAGATAGATAGATATAGATATGAGTACCGGGTATCCGAGTGTCGAGTCCCGTGCTGCCTCAACTCGAACGTTTCGACTGGTTACTACCATCACCCCCTCTCTCATTCTCTCTCTCACTCTATGTATCTCCCTCTCACTACCCATTCATCTCTTTCGTTCGTTAATGATCGGCAGCAGTACAAGAAATCTCCATGGATTTGTTTACAAGCCAACACCGATGACACCGAACGGGGGATTTTTTTTTCGTGCCGCTCAGTCGCGATCGGGAAGCGGCGCTTAAAAGTTTACAGATCGGATTCCGGAACGGCAGTCGTTAAGTTCATAAACGATCGTATAGTTACACGAATTTTGTTTACGTGACAGCCATACGGAATGGAATGCATAAACGTGAAAACATCAACCCATAATGCGATCATGAAGGTTCAATAAAAAAGTGAGTGGGGGCGCGCTGTTAATTGGGCTAACCCACTGGATAGACGGATTGATGGGCCCTAATAATTTGCATTTAAACTCGATTTGCTGCTGGGTTCAAAGTGCAGTTGGTAATGCCAGCAGACAAGTGCTAAAATAAACAGGGGCACCGCTTACAGTAAGCGCCAGGGAGTCTTTTCCATAACTCGTATGCCACATTTTCCAGCATAAAGTTCACAGCCACTGAGCGAAACACTCGAAGAGTCGGGTTGGGGCCGGGACGGGACAGGGGCAGGGGCAGGGCCGCCTTAATTCAATCAAATGTCGCTTATTCATCCAATTAAAGGTCGCGCCATTTGACGTCCCACTATGAATGCGTCTGTGAATACGAATACGGAATACGAGCAGTACGAGTGGAGTGGAGCGGCGTGGAGGCAGCAGCCCGCTTTGAATGTTTTCCATTTTTTAATATAATTGACAGTTAAACTTTGTGCACATGTTCAGCAGAAGCGAAACTCCCACTCCACTCCGCTCCGCGCCGCGCCGCTCCACGCCGGCTAGTGTCACACAGATCAGACGGGGAGCAAAGCGGCCACAGATGGAGATGGGAGAGGGCGAGTACGCACAATGGAGGCCATTCTTGGGCGGGAGATTAGTGGCGCTGCAGTCGGCTGGCTCTGTTCCGTCTCCGATAGTGCGAATCTCTTCCGAGCGAGAGGGAGTGCATAGTGCGTGCATTGACGCTCCTATTTGATGCATCATTGCCGTAGAACAATAGGTAGCCACTCTGCGAGTAGCCGCGTGAGTCACTGCCCGGCTTGCTGACCCAGGGAGCGATCCGCCGCTGCTGCTGCCGCTGCTGCTGCCGCTTCCTTATCGTGAGAGCTTTATTGGTTCGGGCTTACCGTGGTTTAGGGTTCCCTGCAGATCTGTGGAACATCATAACAACCGAAAACGCTGAATTACAGTGATTTGGCAGTAATCAGTAATTTGGCCCGGCAAAGCTTTTGCTTTTGCTATTGCGGCTATCTAGAACACTTCAATTTATCTTATCAAAGTGATCTTGAGCTTGTTTGAGCAAGTGAGACACGCTACACTGAGCGAAAGGGTGGGAGGGTTTCCTGGTAGAGGGGTTCAGAGATCATATCGGGATCTGGTTCTTCTTGCTGGGCCCTTTTGTTAATGATAAGTTATGACTAAGCCGTATCTAGAGAATCTGTTAACCGTTTCTACTCTGCTTTTTGTTGCAGTGCCCAGTGCAACACGAGGTATACGGACTCTTGTCTAATCTGGAGAACCGCAACAGCACGGAGCTTCGGAGCGGGCTAATAACAATAAAATAGGCAGTAAACATATTGCTTTGGCGCAAAAGATAGAGAGACAGAGAGCAAAAAAAGCTAAAACAATATCGTCAGAGACCAAGAGACCAAGAGAGAGAGAGAGAGAGCAAGGGAGAGGGAGAGGGAGAGACACAGAGGCCCCCCCACATCAAATGAGCGTTAAATTAAAAGAACGTTACCCAAACGACGCCGGATCAGTCAGCCACTGACAACGAACCCGAAACGAACGAACCAACCGAGACATCCGCGACGGGTAGACACAGAAAAAACAAAACAGAAACGATCCGATCCAAAAAGATAATTACAAACCAACATAAACAGACAAAAAAACACACACAAAAAACAATTTGGAATATTAACTAATTAAAGCCAAAGCCAGAGCCAGAGGCAGAGTCAGCGATCCATCCACAAAATGCGCAACGCGAATGAAGATCAATCCGTATCCGTCTCTGTGTCTGCGTCTGTATCTGCATCCGCGTCTGCGTCTGCCTCCCCAGTGCCCGAGGGATGCCAGAGCCAGAGGCAGGCGGAGGACCGACAACTGACCCGGCGACTCCTCATGGAGCTGCTGGTGATGGTGGTGCTCGTCGTACCCATCTGCATCTATGAGTTCGCGGTGGATCCGGTGCGGCGCGGCTTCTTCTGCGACGACGAGAGCATCAGCTACCCCTTCAAGGACAACACGATCACGCCGGTGATGCTGGGCCTGATCAGCGGCCTGCTGCCGCTCGTAGTCCTGCTGCTCGTGGAGTACGTGCGGCACATGCGCGCCGGCGAGCTGGCCACCACCGTCCACCTGCTGGGCTGGCGGATGTCCGCCTGGTACGTGGAGCTGTTCCGGCAGACCACCTACTTCACCTTCGGCCTGCTGCTCACCTTCGACGCCACCGAGGTGGGGAAGTACACCATCGGCCGCCTGCGGCCGCACTTTCTGGCCGTCTGCCAGCCCCAACTGACGGACAGGACCCTCTGCTCGGATCCGGCCAACCTGCACCGCTACGTGGAGAACTACGAGTGCGCCGCCGAGGGCTACACCGTCGCGGATGTGCGCCAGTCGCGCCTCAGCTTCCCCAGCGGCCACTCCAGCATTGTCTTCTACTCCATGGTCTACGTGGCGCTCTACCTGCAGCGGAAGCTCACCTGGCGCAGCTCCAAGCTGAGCCGCCACTTCCTCCAGTTCGTGGTCATAATGCTGGCCTGGTACACGGCCCTCAGTCGCGTCATGGACTACTGGCACCACTGGTCCGACGTCCTCTCCGGCTCCCTGATCGGCGTGGCCGGGGCCCTCATCACGGCCCGCTACATAGCGAGGTTCTTCGACTCGCCCTACGAGTCCGTCCCGGGCATCCTCAGCGGTGGCCTGCGCAGGCAGAACACCTCGGCCACGCTCCAGGAGGAGGTGTGTCCCACCACCCCACCACCCTACTCGGCGAACAACAGCTACAACGAGGATCAGTACTGCTCGAAGGTCTGATCGGAGACGATCACCATGTACTATAGAACATTCCAAAGCCCCGAACGGGCCTAGGCCTGAATAAAATAAAGTATCGATGAGATGCGATGCGATGCGATAAAATGAGATGAGATGAGAACAGCGCGAGTTGAACCTGTAGTATCTACACCTTCATCATAGAATCATATTGTTAGATCTTCACCCAGCATCTGTATAGTTCCCATGAATACGAATCTGTACGATTGTCCAGTCAAAACCATCATACTGTCTAAGTTCTCGTATTATTTGTGTATTAATTGGATAAATAAATAAGTACTCCAAAGAATTTCGCGACATGTTTTCATTGTCGTTGTATTGTATTCACCTGTTCCCCTGTTCCCCTGTGCCCCCACCCAGTCGCTGCTCCATTGTTTTCGATTGGGCGCTTATCTGCATTTATGAATGTGTTCCAGCTTTGTTCTACATGAAATTTCACATTTCAATGACTGCGCCCGCTTCAGCCACCCCACATTCCATTTAATGCCATATATCGAAGGTGTTCGATTGACACAATTTTTCGCACAGTGTTTTTTTGGGGTCATACTTGGCTGACTGGCTGACTGGCTCTGCCAACAGTGGTAGGAATGTGTGTTGGCCGCATGACGCATCAACAATGCGATTCGAATGGGTGACTGAGGCAAGGGTTGGGGCAAGGGGCAAGCAAGGGTTTCTGCTGCGTCAGAGGCACGCAGCATTAGCCAGTGGCTCCGAACCTCTTTTCGGATGATCGCGAGAAAGCCGTATAGCTATGTACACACTCGACTCTGTATTTCCCGGTACCCCCTACCCAGGCGCTACAATGTACCCAAGCGCGTCTGTGAATCAGACGATGCTAATCTGATTTGGATGGCCCTCTGACCCATCAATTAATAATTTTCAAAGAGAGTCTAAGAGAATGATGCGGATCGCAAAGAGAGCTTTCTGGGAGCTTTTCGGGGGGGCTTTTCGATAGATGGGGGCAGAGCTAAGCTACGCGATCGGTCCGGCGGACATACGTCAGCGGACAGTCCGCAGTAACTCGCGTGTTATTTTGATGACCATTCCAGGGCCAGACGGTGCGCCAGCACGTGCCTTGGCAACAGGCAACCGTCCACAGGCAACAGTATGCTTATCTGCAGCGTCAGCAGCAGCAGCAGCGGCGCCCCGGAGAGTTCAGATCACTGCGTTTACTCTGATGCGGACGGGACTGGTGCGGGGTTTTCCGCTCGGCGGACGGAACGAAGCCAGCTTTGGCTGTGGCTCTGGCTCTGGCTTTGGGGAGTCTATAAATACAGCAACGGCGGCAATAACAATGCGAATTGTTTATTAATAATACGAATCAAGCGCGTCCAAATCAGACCCAGTTCTGATTGCTGGGGGCTGGGGGCTGGGGATGGGGGCCTGTGGGCTTACATTACTCAAATACTGTGATCCCAACCAAACCGTAGCTCAGTGGAGCGTAGAACTTCGAACAGTCCGGACGCCATGAGCTTCAGTTTGCGACTTCGGCCTCCGGTCCGCCTGCTGGTGGACCTGGGCCTTCTGGCCCTGCTCCTGATCCTTTCGGCGTACTTCAAGCGCATCTGGTGGCCCACCACCCAGCGCGGCTTCTTCTGCAACGACGAGACCCTGATGTATCCCTACCGCGAGAGCACCGTGAGCCCCACGCTGCTGCACTGGCTGGGAGTGCACTTGCCCCTGCTGTTCCTGGGCCTGCTCGAGAGCTTCCTGACCTGGCGCCGGGGCGAAGTGACCAGCTGGCGGCACCTCTGGCCGCTGTGGAACACCATCCGCTGGTTCCTCTACGGCCACGTATTCAACAATCTCCTCAAGAGCATCGGAAAGGAGACCATCGGCAGACTGAGGCCGCATTTCTTCGCCGTGTGCCAGCCCCAGTTTCCGGATGGAGGCAACTGCTCGGATGAGGCGCACCGTGGTGGCCTGGTCTACCATGAGGCCTACAGCTGCCGGCCCGAGCTCTCGGGGGCCACCCAGGAGATGCTGACGAGCCTACACGTGTCCTTCCCCAGCGGTCACTCGTCCATGGCCTTCTACGGCCTGGTGTTCCTGGCCCTTCACTTGCGTCACCGCCGCTGGCCCTTGAGGGGCAGTCTTCTGGGGCCCGTCCTCCAGCTGGGATGCCTCTGTGTGGCCTGGTTCGTGGCCATTAGCCGTGTCATGGACTACAAGCACCATTGGTCGGATGTTGTGGCCGGTTCGCTGCTGGGGGCCGGCACTGCTTTTGTGGTCGTCCAGGCGGCCAGGCTCGAGGAGGGACACAGGACCACCAAAGCGGCGGCGCCAACAAATGCGAATGCGAATGCAAATGAGAAGGAGAAGGAGAAGAAGAAGGAGGGCCAGGCAGAGGCAGATGCACTCGCAGTTGGAGCTGTGGCAGGGAAGGGCCACCAGCTGGCGCATGATTTGTGCCAGGTTACGTGTCAGGGCTCTAATTAGTTGAGGCTCGGTTTAAGCTATGCGATTTCTAGTTGTTAAGTTAAAGCGACACAGTTGGCAGTAAAATTAAAAGTTATTTAAGCGAACAAGGCTTGTTTGTGGGCAGATCATTATGAACCGCTCAATGCATCTGCACCTCCTCAGATCTGTGCGAAAAGTCGGTGGAAACTGGAAACATCAAGATCGATCAAACGCTCGATCGAGTGGAAAACTGACGATTAGCGGACAGCCTTCCAATCGAATGAGGTTCAACGTTGCACAACAATCATAGTTTTTCCCCTGGCACTTGCGGTTGTCTCTGTCTCTGTTTCCCAGCTAAAATATCAGGCTACCAATTTCCCTCTACCGCTCCACCGCTCTCCCCGGACTTCAGGCCCGCGCTCCCCTCACGGCTGCTCATAAAACGCCAAATACTGTGCAAATATTTGAGTAGAATGAGTGGCGTTTGTCAACGCACTTGCCAAAACACTTGCCCGTAACGCAATAAAGACAAATCTGGTAATTAGCGTCTACTATAAAGCTGTTTTCGTCTTTTGTCGGGGGAATTTTTCGATCTGTTTGCCTTGGGTATCAGAACAGAAATAGATTTCCAACGAAACCGGCGAGCGCACCCCAGCCCAGCGAATAAACCCCCCGAAATATTAATATTTACACTTCGATTTACGAATTGATACAAATGGACTTGGTCTGAAATTTCAATTGAAAGAAATATATATTTTACTAAAATCAAATATTTTCATATTCAGATTAAATATGTATATTCTCCATTTAAACTCAAATTGTTCTCATTTTTAAGTTGAAAATTTGTCCTATTTAAATTCTATAAATTTTAATAATAAAATTTAATACTTTTTTTACTTGAATTGAACATTGTTCATATCAAAAATATATGGTAATGTTTTCGTATTCAAGGCGTTAGCAGCTAAAACCAGTTGGGAATTAATATACAATTATTTAAGCGAAATGCAAAAAGCATCTCATTTAATTTTTTATTCAATATAAATAGTCTTTCACTTTGATATCAAAATAAATATTTTCAAATGGAGTCTTGATAATATTTAATATAAATATGAAACATATTAAGCTACAAATTCCATATTTTATTTGTATTATAAGGTGTTTTATTTTTAAAATTAAATTTATATTTATTTATATTTAAATTAAAGTAAATTATTGTTCTATTCTTGGAAAATGTATTTCTTCTTACTGTGCCAGTTTTCTCTGAGTGTGGGGCACTAGTCTCCCTCCACTAAGGGTCCCTCCTCCTGACCCTTGTCGCTCTTGTCGCTTACAAATATATTTCAATAGTTTCACTCGCGCCCGGATTGTAAGGGCCCCCGCATTGATTTCTATTGGCAGCCGCAGCTAATTTCGCGAAACGAACCCCAAGACCCCCGAAACAGAAAGAGAGAGAGAGAGAGAGAGAGAGAGAGAGCGCGGTCGTCGTCGTTGACAACGGGCCAACAATTAGCGGCTCTTTTAGTTTCATTAGCAGCAAATTTTCAAACGACTTAACCTCAGTCAACAAGGCGGCCGCAGACTCTGAATGCTCCCTCACCCACCACCCACCTCTCGGCCCCGGCCCCCAGGAGAAAAAAGAGATATAAATAAATTTCCACAGCCTTGGCATAAATTGGCGAAAAGGACCAAGCCATCTCCGACTCTCTGGCTGATGATGATGCGCAACACCTGGACCCGGTCCTGGGCCGGGTCTGGGCCTGGCCTGGCCTGGCCTGGGGATTTCTGCGGTACTTGGCACCCTCATCAGGTGAGGATGGATAGTGGTTGGATAGGAAGAAGGTAGGCAGAGGTACGAGTAGCATCGGCCGCCGCTTAATTGGCTCATTTATTTTGATGGCAAAGAAAATGCTAGAAAATTGTGGTTCTTTTTTTGTTTGCATCGCTTCGCTCCTTCTCCGCCTAATTCCCTCTCCTTATCCCAGATTCTCCCTGGTTTTATTATGATTAATTGTGGCTAACACACACACACACACACAGGCACACACACAGGCACAGAGGGAAACTGACCCAAAGCTCCACTTTCTTGCCAACTTTTGCAACTGTGTCAAGTTGTTGTTGTTGTTGTTGTCTGGCTGGGAGATTCGAATGATAAATTTCTATGCAATTTATTTTAATCTGCTGCGACAGTCCCTGCCACACTAGCCTGGGTTCCGTTCCCCCCTCTCTCTGTCTCTCTCCCTCTCCTTCCTCTCCTTCCTCGCTGCTTTCGTGCGTTAATTAAATGGGAAAATATTTGCATCGCAGCCCCCGAATGGGGCCAGGGATAGGGTTCGGAAAGTTTTAGCTGCAATCCAACACAGTGACCCAAATCCGGCATTAGCGAAACTTTTGTTTCGCTCTGCTTTGCCCGGGAAGGCCAGATGCGGGCAATCGGAGTTATTTGCGGCCTGGGCGGAGTTCATTAAGCCAGAGACGAAGACTTACACTGAGACTTGGCCACGTAACGCGACAGGAATTATGTAGAGTCAGGAAGTGGCAATCAGGGGGTGGGTCTGGGTCTGGGTCTGCCTCTGCCTCTGCGGCCATCAATCAGGGCACCCGTTTAACAAGCACTTTCAATCAATTGCTTTCAACGTAACTCTTGAGCAAATTTAAGAGAGGCCACCGCAGACCAACAGACCAACAGACCAACAGAGCATCCGTGTATCTCTCTAATCACCGTCAGGTGTGATAATGCGGCCCGTCGGTGTCGGTGTCGGTGGCGGTGGCGGTGTTGGTGTTGGTGCCGGGGTCCAGTCCGGGCAGTTTGTCACTCCACATTATATCACCCTTCATTCAAAGCGAAGCACCGACTCATCCAACTCCCATCAGCCATCAGCCATCAGGCATCCATCGTACAGGAGTGCAGACTACATCGCTCTCGCATCGTCTGCTGCATTTTTGCATGGTTGTTTGCTCAACAAAATATCCCAAAGCATTTCGGGGATTTTCCACTCCTCTTGTTCCTCGTACTCCTCCTGTTGATGCTCCTTCTCCTCTTTCTGCTGCCGCTGCTGCTGCTGTTGGCGTTGTTGCAACATGCGCTTCATATTTTTGCGGTTGCTGTCCTCCTTGCACTCCTGGCCAGCTTTTCCACTTGCTATTTGCCATCAGCAGTCATCAGTGTCTCTGCTTCCACCTCCCTCTTAACTCCTGCCCTGCCCCGCCCCGCCCCGCCCTGCCCTGCCACGGCCTCGCCTGGGTCCGCACTGCTCCAATCGTTGGCTTCATGTGTGTAAAGACAATTTGATAATCGCAAAATGCAGCATAGTTTGAGTTAATGAAGCTTGTGTGCCATGTGTGCCACCTTCGTAGAGCTGCCACCCTTTTGCTGCCTTGCTGCCTTGGTGCTTTGCTGCTCTGCTGCTCATCGTGGTGGAGCAGTCGCAGCCGCATTCCCAGTCCCAGCCAGCACTCCAGAGACTCTTCCTCGTTCCCGTTCCTGTTGCCGTTGCCGTTGCCTTTCCGTTGTCGTTGTTTGTTGGGCAACAAGCAGAGCGTTTTGCTTGCCAATTAGTAATTTGCTTGCTAGTGCTGTTGCCTGGCCATGGCCATGGCCATGGCGATGGCGATGGCGATGGCGATGGCTGGGGAATGGTTTACCAGTCCAGACCAGACCACACCAGACCGCACCAGTCCCTGACAACCTGAGGGAGTTTTAAATTGTCCAAGGTGGAGCCATAGCCATAGCCATAGTCAGAGGAGCCAGTGCCACCGCAGCCCGGGCCAGGACTGGCTCAAGTTCGTTTAATGGCTGTCCAATTGGCATTGCTTTAATCTAAAAGTTGTGGCAGATTACGGTGCGGAATCAGAGCTCTCCGTCGTCGGAAAAGTTGTGCGCCGTGCCGTCCCGTCCCGTCCCGTCCCCACCCGTGCCGTGTTTCGCATTCAGGCATTCAGGCATTCTTTTTCAATTTGTTTAAATTAATGTGACACTTTACAATGCATCGTTAATGTTTTCCATTTCCATTCCGCCTGCTGTGAACTTATTTATTTCATCGTGCAGCGGGCAGCGGGCAGCATGCGGCATGCAGCATGCAACGTGCAACGTGCTACGGGCACCCGTTCATCGACAGGCCAGGCAGATCCTTCGACAGGGAAGACAGGCGAGGTCCAAGTGACAATGTGACAGATGGGGCTCCCAAAAAGGGCGCCTGCAACGATGCAATTTGAATGAAAAGCAGCAGGACAGCAGACAAGAGATCTTGCAGCAACAATCGTGGAAAACAACCCATTTTCCTCCTCCTTCCTTGTCACCTTCAGCGTTCGCCTTTGGCGCGGAATGGAATGGAATGGAATTCGCTTCCGTTTTCGATGTCCTGTCGTAGAAATCACACGCAGCCTTGACACGTGACAGCTAAGGGATGGAGGACAGAGCCAGGGGCACAGGCACGGGCACGGGCACGGGGACGACTGTGCGGCGGCCATTTTGCGTTTTGTCGCCGCCATCATTATTAATATTGCTGGCACAGGACGAGAGCCAGGACGAGAGCCACAGCCAGAGCCAGTGCCAGTGCCAGTGCCAGAACGAGGGACAGAACCAGGACCACGACCAGGACGATGCGATGCTAACTTCCGTTGCGTTGCGTGGCATTCGTGCTGTGATTTTTTCGCGGCTCTTCCATTCCCGGCTTTCTTTTTCGATGGCTCTGACAATTTTGATTGTTGGCCCGGCTGAATGGAGGATGTCCTGCTCCTGGTGCGATGCGGCTCCTCCTGCCGGGACCCAGGACAGCAGTCGAAACAGGTGTGGCCGTCAACTGGCAATCAACTTTCATTTAGCAGCATCATTTGTCACGCTTGTTTATTGCCCGGTTACGTGTTGGCCACACTTAATGGCTGTTATTGTCGTCCCCGACCGACGCGTCGGCTCCTCACAGAGCGGAGGGGAGGGGACACCAGACAAGACAAGACAAGACAAGACAGCGCCAGACAAAACAAGGGACGAGCAGCGGAGACAAGACAGTACGTATTGTATAGGTCCGGGATGCGGCACTCGATTTGTATTGATTTAAAATCATACAGTGCACGGGGCAGGCAGAACTTTATGGAATCATGTGGCATGCGGCGTTGCTTCCTTTGCAAC